ACTCCACCTAATGGAACTACTTGTCATTCTTACAGTTTTAGTGCCACATTTCTAACTAGTACCTTTCCAGTGACTCTTGGTCTACAAATTTTTTGCCTTCCAGGGTGTACTAGTGAGATACACTAGAGTCAGAAAAGTTATTAGCTAGACAAGAAATGTTTAAAATTATATTTATTTTTAACCCTGAAGCTGAGTCTGTATCGATCCCTACCTAGCATGGTAATTAGAAGCATAAGTCGATGATGTGTACATTTGTTATGGAGCAAAGAGGAAGTCAATATGCTTACATGTGAGTGATCCCTCAGCCTTATCTAACATTTCTGAATGTCTCCCATTGGCAAGAAAACTGTGAGGAATGTGCCAGAAGCTAGAAATGCAATTCTAATTCATTAACTTGATTTGGTATGTCAAAAGAAAGCCAAGTGGGTGTATCAGCGAGGCTTGAATTTTGATATGGTGGAAAGCAAAAGAGTTAAGTCTTTTCTTTTAAAATGCTGCTGTACGTGCCTCCTTAGCGCAGTAGGCAGCGTGTCAGTCTCATAAAATGCTGCCGTTACACACAAGATTAGCCACGTGTGTGTTCAGAGATGTCTTTTTGCGCTAGGTTTTGGGGCATGCAGTCGGTGGGGTTTCAGGTGGCCTTGTGCCTCTCCACAGCCTCCCCAAGTTCCACATTCCAGATGAGCTAGGATGTCTGACCTGGGGTCCTTGTGCTGGAGCCGCCGGAGGAGGAGAGAGGGTGGACGCGGGAACGCATGCACATCCATTGCTGGTAGGCATCACGGCACGAGGGCCTCCGCAGGCTAGTTTGTGGTTCTTTTTAGGCCTTTTCTCATTTCCCTAAAAACTTCTTGAATTGTCTGTAGGTATTCTTTAAGGAATTTCACACACATATGAAGCAGAAATAAGTTTGACTGAGTTTGATGATCATTTGTAACCAATGATATTTATTTTACATCTTAGTCGTAGAAATGCTAAACAAAGAATCTAGTTCATAAGAGTAGTTGCTACAAAAGTGTCTCATGATAACAGAATTAGTTTTGACTTTAGGAGAAAACCCATTCTTTTGAGAATAGCTAGTTTTTATTAGGGTAAGCAAATGCCATACCAGTTTTTAGTATTTAAAAGATCTTTTACATATGACTCCACACAGGGCTGGACATGAAATAACTCCACTCTGCTTCTCTCCTTAACCTAATGGGTTGCACAGATTTTTGCCAGCACTTACTCAAGATATTAGTCATGATTATGCATTTGCACAACAATTTTCGTTTTAAGATTCAAGCTAAATGATAGAGTCTTATTAAAGTCTACAATCTATGGTCATGAATTATGTAGACCACGCTAATCAGCCATCTGTCTTCTCTCCTTCCTTCTTGTAAAAACCAAACCAAATAAACCTGAAGCCCCCAGAAAGCACTGGAAATACAACTTGCCTTTTGTATCCTTCCGTTCAAAGTATAACTTCAGGATCTTTAACTGATGACTAACCTGGGCGGCAGTCATTTACAGGTTCCCTGCTGTGTGCTTTTTAGACAGCTGCAGCCTTTGAAACTCCCAAGCCTGGGGTTCACCTGAACCTCCAGGAACTTGCATAGGTGAGGGTGGAAGGCAAGGGTAGGCTTTCTTGATGTTTTGGCATCGACTGTCATATCTTATCTTTGTGTTTTCTAGTTGGATAAATTGTGGGTCCTATGGATGGAGCAATAGTCCCAGAGGTGTGGTGTCTAAATATTCGCAGAAAATCGCTTGAAAACAGTCAAGTCCATGAGTCAAAATTGTAAAGCCCTGGCAGTTTATAAGAAAGAAAAGGCAGTCCTATGTCAACTTAGACTTAACTGAGTTTGATCAGTAATTCAACTATCCGACTGGTAATAACTTAAACTAGATAAGAGATGAAATTTACCTTTGACGAAGGAAATGAGTTAAAATAAAAGATGAGAACCAAGAAACGTTTTTGCTTTACCATGCTACCAATGCAAGTCTGCTTTTTAAGAGTCATTCCTTGCTCTAATAGATTTCTCAAATGACAAATATGAGGAGGGTTTTTGTTTGTTTGTTTCATGTTGTTGTTGTTTTAATGTGGGCTCTGGGATGTCCAGGAAGAGGCACTGGCTTAGAATGCTGGCTGTTTTGCCAACATAGTAAATTGGAAGAATTTGCTCTAACATTTGAATTTGGCACGCATCTGGTCTTTCGGTGTCCTTGTTAACTGTACCAGTTGGCATTGCTGGTTGACTTTGATTAAGGTGCCACACTATTTGCACTGGGTAGTTAGTGGGAAATTTAGGGATATCTGACTAACGTTATATTTTTCAGACTAAAGGATCTTAAGTGCCTTGTTATTTGAGCACATGAGAAAGTTGTCTTAGGAGGTGACTTTCTGGAGAGCTGTGATGGCAATGTAATAGAATGACTATGGTAGCTAAAAACTATACCTGACTTTGATATGATGGACACTCACATTTTCCCTGGACTGTGACAACTTTAATTAATTGTACTTTTCACTTAATTGTACTTTTCACTTTTCTCAGACTCAATAGAAAAGATGACACGGAACTCTCATTCCTGATTATATAACTATAGTTTAAAATGTGTTCAGATTATATAGATGAAGCATTTTTAATGTATTAAATTTTATCACCCTTGTTCAATGTTTCTAATTTTATAGATGCCTACTGATTTACAATATACTCGAATCTGTCCTAGAAGTTTGCACACTGCCTGTAAAGACAATATATACATGTAAAATTCCTGACAGCAATATTTGTCAATAAGCCAGAACCAAAACACAAGACTGGATCATACTTATCCACCCTGGATCATATGGACAAGGCCACCATAAGCCAGGGACGAGCTCCTGCATGCACTTGAAGGGCTGTGTCAGAAAGATGCCTGCCCACAGGGGCGAGTGACCACTGAGGTCCAGCCACTCTCTGCCCATAGGCCTGTGCCTGCCCAAGGCACCTGTGCAGAGCACACCTTTTTTCACAGTTGTGCCGTGGTTTGCTGTCTTTTATACCATTAACAATCAGCAAATCTTGTGGAAAAGGCAGGATTTGGGCCAAGTGAGGAGCTGTGATTGCTGGGAAGGTGATATGGGGTGGACCCACCAGCTGGAGGAAGACAAGACTTGTGCAGGCAAGGAACCATGGGCAGGCCAGGTCATGACCGGCAGGTTCCTTCACAGCAGGGGGGCTCAAGAGAAATATTTCATCTTGAATTATCCAGTGGCCTTATTAAAATAAGGAAAATAAATAGATGTAACTAGTTTTAATAATATATTTTGAGCCAGATGCAGTGGCTTACACCTGTAATCTCAGCTCTTTGGGAGGTTGAAATGAAAGGATTGCCTGAGCCCAGGGGTTCGAGACCGGCCTGGGTGACTTGACGAAACCTCATCTCTACAATAAATAAATAAATTAGCTGGGTGTGATAGCACGCGCCTGTAGTTCCAGCTACTTGGAAGGCTGAGGTGAAAAGATCTCCTGAGCCCAGCAGGTCAAGGCTGTGGTAGCCATAAGTGTGCCACTGCACTCCAGCCTGGGTGACAGCGTGAGACTCCAACTCAATGATAATGATATATTTTAATCCAGAATCTTCAAAACACTATTATTTCAATTATTTCACCATCCAAAAAATAGTAATTATTAGTAAAATCGTTTACGCTATTTTGTATTGAGTTTTAGAAATCCAGGATATATTTTATTCTTACAGCATATCTCTATTCAGATGCTAAATTTTCATCCAAAATACTTGCTGTGTTTAGATTTTGTACACTTTAAAGAAATGGATTCACATACCCAAGTTCTTCTAAACATACTGTAAAGATGAATCTGAGTATTGATTTTTACATTTAAATGAATGAAAACGAAATCATTTTTCCTCCATGACACTCGCCCGTTTCAGGTGCACAGAGGCCTCATGTTGGCCGCATGACTCCCGAGGGACTCTGGGAAAGTCATTGCCAGGCAAAGGCATGTGAAGTGTCACTGAAAGGCAATAAAGAGACCTTGAGTTTTCGGGATGATGCGTCTTAGGTGGGATTTGTAAGGAGGAAGAATTATACTCAGAGAAACCAGTTGGACTTTGCCAGACCTGATACATTGAACACTCTGGTTAAAGTCCGTTTTACCGAGGATTAGACAAGTTCTTTTGGTCACCAAGTAAACTGGCCTTCTGTTACATTGCATTTAACCGACGGCTTTCTTGAGGACTAAAGCATCAGACGGAAGGAAGCTTGTTTCCTCCTACTTCAGAAGATTTTTCTTACCACTGTAGGAGGTGTAAATGATGTATACTAAACTGCACGTATACAAAGCATACAACTGGATGAGTTTGGGCACACAGGTGTGAACCAGTCATTACAAACAAGATATTAGGCATTTCCTTGATCCCAAACATGTCTAACATTGGTTTGGGGTGTCTTATTTCTGGGGTCTGGGAGAAGGCATGTGGAGACCAGGGACCCAGTCTTGGTCCTGCTGAGTACCTTTGAGCAAGGTGTTTACTGTCTCTGAGCTTTCAGTTTCTGATTGTAGTAGATAGTACCTGTTATCTCTGGAAATGTGTTTAAAATATGTAGGCTGCAAACTGCTGGAAGCCTCGGTTGTGCCAAGTGTTAATCCTTTCATTTGTGTATTAGGGGCCTGGGGGCAGCCGATTCTCACCTACCTGTAGTCCAGCGTTTTAATAACCGTACAGCCGCGTCAGCAAGTGCCAGCCTGGGTGCTGCAGAAGGCTGCACCGCAGCCAGGAGAAAGCCCCAAGCAGCCTTTTAAATTACTAAGTCCTTGCTGGCAGAAGATGAAATGAATAGCGAGAGATTGTTATTTTGTTCTAGGTGAGATCCTCCCTAGAAAGGACTGCTTTGCATTAGTGGTTTGGAGTCCCCAGAAACACACACAGCATCCTGCGTGTGGATGGGCACTGCCCTGAGTAAGCCTTGCCACGTGCTCAGCCGCCAGCCTCTTTCTCACCATCTCCTGTTGGCCCCACAGAGGCTGCTCCGAGCTCTGCCGGATCCCCATGGTGGAATACAAGCTTGACAGCGAGGGCACCCCCTGTGAATACAAAACCCCCTTCCGGAGAAACACCACGTGGCACCGGGTGCCCACCCCAGCCTTGCAGCCCCTCTCCAGAACCTCCCCGGTCCCTGGCACCCCCGACCGGCTACAGTGCCAGCAACTGCTCCAGCAGGCTCAGGCTGCCATTCCTCGCAGCACCTCCTTTGACCGGAAGCTGCCCGACGGCACAAGGTAAGGCTGGTGTTGTTTCCTCAAGGATGGCCCTGTAAAACTCTGGGGGAGACCTGCAGCTATAGGGAGTCTTTTTCGCTGGTTTAACGTCTTCTGAGTCAGCTTGTTCTGAACAAGTTGGCAGGCCGGGCCACAGGGCTGCCCCAGACGCAGTCCTGACCTCTCCTAGTCCAGCCACCATGCTCATAAAATCCAGGCCCTGCTCACCAGGCCACAGCTTTTCTTCTTCATCCAGCATCCTTCCTCCCTGTCAACTAGTTATCGAAACCACCTTGGAAAAGGTATCCCAGAAACATACTACATGAGCCTCTAGAAAGTGTGAACAGGCTTGAGTATTAATGAAACAAAACTGAATACTTGGTGATGACATCATGTGAATAGTACCTTAAGAGACTCCAAGACCATTAGTACTTTTCTCTTTGCTCTTCCCTTTCATTTTGAGTTTGAGTTTAAATTTTTTCAATGAAAGAATATACTTGTTTAAAAGTTAAATCCGGCCAGGCTCGGTGGCTCAGCCTGTCATCCCGGCACTTTGGGAGGCTGAGGCGAGTGGATGGCCTGAGCCCGCAGGTTTGAGACCCACCCAGGCAACTTGGCGAGACCTCGTCTCTACAATAAATCAAAAAAATTAGCCGGGCATGGTAGCGCACACCTGTAGTTCCGGCTACTTGGAAGGCTGAGGCAGAAGGATCACCTGAGTTCAGCAGGTGGAGGCTACGGTGGCCAGGAGCGGCCATTACACTCCAGTCTGGGCGACAGAGTGAGACTCCAACTCAAAAAAAAAAAAAGTTAAATCCAGTAGCACTAGAAACTGGTGAGAATTTTTTAATGCCTGATTTGCGTAGGCCATTTTAATGGAACAAAATAGTGAATTTATTTAGTTATTGCTGTTAATTTTCACTCCTTTTATTTTAGCTTTTATGTAACTGTAGGTCACGGACATGCCATAAGTTTTCTCAAAGCAACCTGTAGGCTCTGGTGTGATAAACTGTGGACTGAGGCCAGGCCGCAGGGGGCAGAATCACAGCTTTAACTAACTTGATGTTGTGTTGTGACCTGGGTCTGGTACTCATCCTCTCCATACCTCCAGTTTTGTCTGACAATAAATATAGTAATAATACCTCATCAGGGCATTCTGTGAATTGATCGGGTCAATGTATGTAAAGTGCTTAGACCCAGGTCTGGCACCTAGTAAGCCTACATGAGTATTAACCAGAATTAATTGATAACTAATTGACAAACATCTGGTCATCCTCAGCCTTCTCCAGTTTCTTTTTTCCAGAGTGAATGCAGCCAATGGTGTTACTTTAATCTGACATTAAATCATCTTGGCTCTGGGTCTCCTTACTCAAAAGTCTGTTGAGTTTATAAACTCTTCATTTTCAGAGAAGCACATAAGGTAGCCATGGTGAAAGGGCAAGTGACATCTGTAAGGAAAGGTGTCTGCAGGACCTCCTTTAGTTAAGTAAATTTAAGCAATTGTCATTCAAGTAAATTAAATTTAAGTTTACTTAAGGTAAAATCAAGTAATGACAATTTAAGTAAATTAAAGGGGAAAAAACAGGAGGATTCTAGTAGCAAAAGGGAAACGTGGCGAGCACATTTTCATCAAGTGAGTTTTCTTGAGCATTACTCGTTTGTGCTTGTCTGAAAAAGATAAATAGACTTGCATCCAAGAGATGCGTGGAAATAAATAGTATTGCCAAATGTAGGTTTTTCTCTCCGCATAAGTTTTAAGTATAGGTCCCAAACACGACTTGCATTAAGTTTCACATAATAAGAATTAGTAACTGTGTTCATCATTCTGCATTCCCAAGTGTTGCATCGCTCCTTATTTCACTGAGGGTCACAGGGAGAGAGGAGTCATCTATGCTCTAACTCCTCAGAGTGCCAGGGCTTGTCCTGCTATATCTCTTTCTTGTGATAAATTGCCAATCATAAACCACCTGGCATCTCCTAGCATCCCGATTCTCAGTTTATTTTTCCCTGACTTACTCTGTTTCGCTTCACAGTGTGTGTTTTCTTCCTTTTCTTTGTCATTGTCAAAGTAAAATTACTTGTGAGACAAAGCAGGCCGGGTCAAGGTGCTCCGCAGATAGCTCAGGGCCCTGCTAATTACTCTGGTCAACCTTTCAGAAGCTCGCCCAGCAACCAGTCCTCCTCCAGCGACCCGGGACCCGGCGGGAGTGGACCCTGGAGACCGCAAGTGGGCTACGACGGGTATCGCGTATTTTTATACCTACCTTGTCCCTGGGAGAAACCTGTTCTGTGACTCATTCAAAAGCATTTGCTGTGTGCCTGGCTGTAACTCGAGACCAGCTGGGAAATATAAAAATGCCAGGGGTGCTTTTAATAAGTGACTTGTCCAGGTTAGAAAGCTCATTATTTCGTTGTGGGTCGTGCTCGCTTGTCTGTGTTCTGAGCCTGTCTGGTTTTTGGTTTTTTTTTTCTTTTTGATAAGGAAAGGCTTCTGAATGTGAAAATTAAGAATTTGAGAACTTAGTTTCCCCTGCACTTAAATTGCTGAGAAAACACCACTCAAAATTAGGGTAGCGGCTTTTTTTTCCCTGTCTGAGAAGCATGGGGAGGCTGCCCTAGCACACTTAGCTGAGAACCGTCCTTCCTAGTGTCCGCGATCTCTCCAGGAGCTAGCAGCTCGGGCAGAGGCCCAGGACTTGCAGGAACAAAGACACTGAATTGACTGATCCCAAAACCTCTGGGAGGAGAAGGGCTAGCGTGGCACTGACGCTCTCCTGAGGACTTGTTGTGCTGCTTGGGATGGAATCAGGGACCTGGGTGTGCTGATTCACATGAGGAATGGCTGCCCTGTGGGAAGACTCCCCTGTGAGGAGCTCTGATGTTCCTGCTTGCACGGGTGCACAGAGAAGCTCCCCTTCTTAGAACTCACTTTTTCCCTCTGAGCATAGAAGCAGGTGTTTGTCATCTGAATTACAGGTATGTCTTCATGCAACTCAGAAGATCATAAATAGAGTTCTTAAGGGTTGTATGCCAAGTAATTTTTCAAAATTACATTGCATTTTTAAAGATGAGGGGAGTGGTTTTTGTATTTTGTTTTTTGTATAAATGGAGAAACCTTTTCTGGCTTTTTCTGAAAACCGGGGTTCTATAAATAAGGACCATTTAGTAATGTGAATAAGCTTTCTTCGATTTATTTCCTTTGTAAGACTGTGTTTCTATTTTCGGTTTTTATAAAATAAAGCCCACTTGGATGTAGTTTAGAGTTCATCTACCATATTTTCTTTTTCTTAAAAAAATGTAATATAAAGATATATCATGCCGCACATAGGAGACACAAGGAAAAAAGAGAGTTCCTCCTTAGCTTGCAGGGACGTTGTCTGACCCTGTACAGTCATTTAACCTGGCTTCGGCAGCCCTTCTTGATCTGTAAGTGCCTGTCCTTCAAGCACCGTTGTTGACCCTGTGGTGAAACTAGATCCCCCAATTCCAGATGCTTTTAGCATCCCTGACAAAGTTCGGCCAACAGATGCTGCGTTTTCATTTGCCAGAAAACAAGCTTAGGACTAGGGGTTCCTAGTCCTTCCGTAGCTCACTGGGAAGCCAGCCCATCTGTGTCCATGCTGGCAGGCAGCATGAGGGGAAAGGATGAGCTCAGCTCTGTGTTCTTTGCAGGTGCCAGTCTCCCCTGCTGCTTGAGCACCAGGGTTCAGGCCCTTTGGAAGGTGATGTAGCCAGGGAGGACGCCATGGAGGCAAGCAGGCACCCAGGTAACCGGGCACTCACGGAAGCCGACACCTCTCTCTTTTCCTCCTCCTTGCTTCCTCGTCTCCCATCCCTTGGTCGTGAACGTTTGGTTCGTTCATTCCTTCAACCCACATTTGGTGAGCACCTGTGTGCACAGGTTGAGGTGACCAGCTGGGTCTCCCAGTGCAGGAAGGGGTGTGGTTGTGATTGTGGTACCCACAGAAATGGGATGTCCACTTGGTGGCGGTGGTTCTGCCTGCTTTTGTGGCATGTTGATCGGTAAGAACAGAAAGTCCTCCAACCTCAAGCCTGTTTGTGTTTACCAGATCATTTGTTCAGCTCTCGCCTTTCTTTACTCTTCTACTAACACTGAAGATGAGGAATTCAGCTTTTCTCTCTTTGTGTGACAGAAACCAAATGGCACGGCCCACCCTCCAAAGTCCTGAGTTCCTATAAAGAAAGAGCCTTGCAGAAAGATGGAAGTTGCAAAGATTCCCCCAATAAACTTTCTCACGTAAGTCCCTTGTCCATGAGCATCTCCACACACAGGTACGGCTTGTTTGCTGGGATGGTCAAGAGCACGTCGCCTCCCAGGGCTCTTGGTGGTGAGGCTAACAAAGGAAACAGTCTCCCTGGTTTATAGAGGACCTCAAAGAGAGGTCACACAGAAAATTAGTGGCAAAGCCAAGGCTATATCCTCAGCCTGTGGATCCTGGCTATCTACTGTAGTGGTTTCTAAATTATGTTCCCATTTGTAATTCCTTAAACACTTACTGACATAATGGCGTAACACAGAGGAAGAACCTGGAGTGGTGTGTGTGGTCAGAGAAACTACCCGCAGGCAGCCCTTAGTCAGTCACAGATGATCAATAATAATAATTACGGGAGCCGCCAACTACCACAGAACGGTGCCTGCACAGTAGTTTGGGGACATTTGCACATGTTGCCCTGTTTACCCCTCAAAAACCCTCTGGCAGGTGAGCCTCGAAGGATAAGGAAGGATAAGTAGCTCAGTGAAACAAAACTTTCATTTAAATGGGGAATCGTTGGTTATTGACAAACAAAGTCAACGTTTTAAGGTCGCTTGCTTTTTTTACATTTGCAGGTGAAGATAATGTATAAGGTCCTGAATTAAGTTGTTTCTTCCTTCTTCCTTAATGTTATCAGCAAGTTTTACAGTTATCTATTAGTGAACACATACAGGATTTCTGCCCTCCTCTGTGGCCGTGACCTGTCTCGCCGGAACCTTACCATATCTATCGAAGCCCACCTTTACAAGCCTGTCGTAGTGGTTTCAGTAGAGGGAGCCAGGATAGGAGTGTGGGCTTGAGAATATCCATGTATGATCAAAAAGGTCAAGGGGATTTGCTTAAGGATCCGATAGGATGGAATGAAAAAAAAAAAAGACCAAGCTACTTTAAAGTCGACCAAGGCCTGGCTCATCTCATGATTCCACAGGCCTTGTTGATGCTGCAGATCACGTTGCTTTTCCCAGCCTGTGAAGGGGAGCCGTGTCTTACGTGTGCACATACTGCACAGACAGGGACGTTGCTTCGTTCTATTTGCTTTTTGTCTTCTAGAGACCCCAAAGCACTGACTCGTTCTCAGGCCTGTTGACTCTAAAGAGAGCCTTGGGCAACTTGACGAGACCTCATCTCTACAATAAATCAAAAATGAGCCGGGCGTGGTAGCGCATGCCTGTAGTTCCAGCCACTCGGAAGGCTGAGGCGGAAGGATCGCCGGAGCCCAGCAGGTCGAGGCTGCAGTGGCCGGGAGCGGCCGCCGCGCTCCAGTTTGGGCGACAGAGTGAGACTCCAACTCAAAAAAATAAAAAGAGAGAGCCTCATCTCTTTAACTCTTGGGGCATACTCTGACCTGGGCTCTCCCAAGGGAGCATTCATGTTTACACTGTGGTCTGCAGCTGCAGAGTGCTCTGCGTATGTCATCTCATCTGTTTGCACAGGAGCCGTGTGAGCTCAATACCATAAGCACAGGGAGGGTTAAGTGACTGAACCAAAAATCCTGCCACCGTGACTCAAACCTGAGTCTTCTGCCCCAGACTCAGGGCTGGCACAGCAGTTTGTCGTCAAAGCTTTTTCTTGGTAAATGGCTGCTTTCTTCCTTTTAATAATTTTCCATGTGCCTTCCCAGTTGATGTAGCCTTGTCTTGTTAATGACACTGTGACTGTACTTGTGTGCTTCATGCACAGATCACTGATCAAAGACTTAAAGACAGGTTATGGGAGGAATTCTGAATTAGGGACTGCTGCATAAAGCCAGGACGTTTTTGAAAAAGAAAATCCTATCACTCCCCACTTGGGAGAGAGTGGAAAGAATTCGGGGGAGACGCCTTGGCTGTCACTCTGTGGACTGGTGTGAGAAGCAGCAAAATTAGGATTTACTTGAAGGCTCTCTGTTCTTCTCTCTTCTCAAGATTGGAGACAAAAGTTGCTCGAGTCACTCCAGCAGCAACACGCTGTCCAGCAACACCTCCAGCAACAGCGATGACAAGCACTTTGGGTCTGGGGACCTGATGGACCCTGAATTGCTGGGGCTGACCTACATCAAAGGGGCCTCCACGGACAGTGGCATCGACACGGCCCCGTGCATGGCCACCACTATCCTTGGCTCCGTGCACCTGGCGGGCAGCCGGTCCCTGATCCACAGCCGGGCTGAGCAGTGGGCTGATGCAGCCGACGTCTCGGGCCCCGACGACGAGCCGGCCAAGTTGTACGCCGTGCATGGCTACGCCTCGGCCATCTCCACCAGCAGTGCTGCCGAGGGCAGCATGGGTGATCTCAGCGAGATATCTTCTCATTCCAGGTAAGCCCCGCCCCCCTGCTCTGCAGCGCTGCTGGTGCCACCTGGGCCCTGCCTTCTGGGGCAGGGCCTGGAATCCAAGGAATTAGAGGTGAGGTGGGGGGGTCGCTGTCTGCCCAGCTGTCTTGCTCCCAAGGAAGTGCTTGTTTCTAGGATCTCATTGGGATTGCGTGTTCGTAAGTCACCAGTTTGTGATTTTGTTTTCTTTTTTCTTTATATTTGAATGAAAAGACAGTAGAGATATTTATCGCTCCAGCCAGGCCACTTATGTCTCTCTCCCCATCCAGCCTGTTGTCCTTAACAGTTTTGGAGAAGAGGTAGTCAGTTCTCTAATCCTGACAGTGTTGTGGGAAGTCACGAGGGCAGCATGTGCTCCCTCCCGTGAGGGCACACACGCTTCCTGCTCTGACAGCAGGAAGTCCTGAGATCTTGTGTGTAGCTGTGGAGGTATGTTCAGCTTGGCAACTGGGGTTTAGCTAAACATAAAGGGATTGTGTTCTTGTATTCTAAATGTAGGCATCTAATATATCCTTGTGAGTGGTTTTCAACTCCTGTTTGACATATGTCTCTGCAGTGGTTTTCAAACTTAATTTGTGACTCCTGCCTCCATATCCAAAGACTAGACAAAGAAATGTATTTCCTCAGCTTTGGCTGTGGGCAGAATTTAGCTACTCACACCAGCTGCCACTATCACTTTTTTCTTTGTCTCCAAGGCCTTCCCAGTTCAGCTCCGAGTTGCTACCTGACTCTTTCCCCAGAGCTCTTCTTCCTGCTGGAAGACAGAGTCAGATGAACTAAGAATGGGAATATTCCTCCCAGTACCTAGACTGTGAAGGAGCATTCCTTCAGGGGTCACCATGGCTGGTTTTGTGCCACTCAGCTCTCCCCTGCACATTCTTCCCTCAGACCTTTTCCCTTCCTCACTGAGCCTCTACTAAAGGATACTGAGTGTCATTCCAGGGACATTTGTGTTACAAGTTAAAGAAAACCCCAGGCTAGTTGGTTCTCACAGCCAAGGTCGTATTTGAGCTCTTGAAACCAATAAGTCCAGAACTATCAAGGTTCTGCTTGATGCAGCAGCTCAGATGACCCTACCCAAGACCAGGCTCCACGTGACTGCTCCTCAAAATCTCAACATTCTTTTCTTGCCTAAAAACAGCCATCTACCCTCAAGGCTCTTAAAATTACACCTCTGTCCCCAAGAGGAAAGTGGTCCTCTAGTCTGCAGAAGAGATGATTCTCTGCCCTTTCCAAAGCCATCACCCCTCATCTCTCCTCATGCATCCTTGGCTTTAACCACGGTGGTTAGCAGTGGCATTGCCTGGCACAGTCAGGATCCTGCACGGGGGCTGGGGGTCAGTCCCACCTACCAAGCCATGAGGTGAGGAATGGCGAACGTAGCCAATTCCTTAGAAGAAAACCAGAGTATTAGTTGACCTGGAGAAGTGGGAGTGGACCCCAGACAGCAGAAATCAAACATGTCTACCATGTCCTCTGTCTTCTGTTTGTTGGGGCAGGGGGAGTGTCGGATGTGAAGATTATTTTTAAAATAGACATTCCTCCTCCTTTTTTTTTTTTTTCTAGTTCTATTTAATAGTTTGGCTTAAATGTGAGTTTAGTATTAATAATTACATAACATTTAAGGATTACCAGTGAATTTGCTACCTGAATTGTTTCTGTGTTCCAGGAGCAGCTAAAAAAATTGGCCGTACCATAAAAACCATCTTGGGATCTTACAACTTTCTAACATCTTATTCAAAGTTTAGATGATTCGAAAAAGTGCTGGTTTCATAATGTTTTTCTTAGACAAATGTAATTGGCATCACAAATAGAGTTTTGTATTACTATTAAGTGAAATTTCTGTGAAAACTGCTCTCAGGGCACACTTATCTGATGATACTTTGTAGGGATATTTATAGGCATTTGAAGTAGATTTTCTTGAATACCTTAGCCACTCTCATTTAATGGGCTAGACTATTAGAAAGTATATAAAAGTGCCAGATTGAATTTCTGATTGATTTTACGTTTCTTTCCATGACTCTAAATTGAATGCGGTGCAGCTGTTGGGGAAATGATGTCTGTTGAGTGAGTGGAATCCTTTACCACTTGACTGCCCTTTCCTTGTCATTCTTTGTTGATGGTGACTTTGAAGCCACACTTCAATTTGTGTCATAGGCTTCTCTCAATGTGGAGTTCCATCAGTGAATGGAATCTTTTTAGCGCTTCCTCCTGTCTGCCCTCTGATCTGCACAGGAGGCGAGGACTGGGAAATGAGATTTACAGTGTTTGTCTTGTTTTCTGTGTGCTGAGGTAAATGGCACCTGGCTCATTCGAGCACGAGGGCCCAGCCTATCAAGTCATACTGAGATTCTACAGACCCTGAAATGCCAGGCCCTCCCAGGGCCTGGGCGGTCAGGTGGGAGTCTCCCTCAGCCCCATGCTCGCCTCTTCTGCCCAGGTTTAGGCTGGCACATGGTGCTCTGGGCACTGAGGCCCACTGCCCAAGGGTCAGCGTGTGACTGGCATTAGCCCCAGCCGCCGGAGAGTAGAATAAACTTCAGGAACTAGCATTAATTCCTGACCACTGTGGCTGAAGTCGCACCTTGTCCCCAGGTGCTCGGCATCCCTGCCCCGTGTTCTGTTTTCTTCACAGACACACTCCTAGCCGAAATCTTTTGTATTTATTGTGCATCTCTTCCCACAGGAAGGTCGCTTGTAACTGTCTTCCCCTCACAAGCGCATCCATGTTTTGAGCTGATAGGGCCGTGACCGGTCTTGTTCACTTGCACCCGCAACCCTTAGTACGGTTCCTTGCGCATGGAAGGCATCTGGATGTTTGCTGAATGAAGGAAAGAACGAGGAAGAGTACTTAGTAAACACTTATCGTCGGAGTTGACAACCCAGTACCTGCATAACCCAGAGAAATAGGAGTAACGTGGAGGGTCAGCCATTCCCAGCTTGCAGTGTCAGGATCTCGGAGCAGTATGTGGTGTGCTTGTGAATTCTCTGATTCTTGTGTTTCGCCACCAACCCTGTGGCGCCTCCAGCCCCAGCACACACATGCTCATTCCCTGGTAGCCTCTCGGGAGGAGAGTAAGTATGGAGTTGTGTATGTGGCACGATTCCAGGATTGTGCTAAGCAGATGAAGGTAGGACTTAAACTCTAAAGAAAGGCTGCACTTCGGTGAGGAGTGGAGGGGACAGAAATCATCCAGGAAGCGAGACAAGCACATGTCTCCTGCTGCTCAGTTCTTTTAATTCAGCAGGCACATTTTTTTTTCTTTCTTTGCGTGCACAGCACCTAGGAAAGAACTCAGAATGCAAAGCAGTGTTCGTGTTAGCCTCACCAAGGTTTGGTAAAGTGAAGTAAATCAGCTGCAAAACAGAAAGCGGCTGATGTGATTATGTATCATTTATCCATATTCATGCCACCCTACCTTTCTCTCAGCACAAAAAAATTGGAAGCTGGCATTGCACCTCTAAAGTAATAACTTTAGTCTAGTAGAGGAAGACTCCTGAAGTTGGTTGGCGTCGTTCTAGCACGTTTTACCTGTGTTGGAGAACACTTCTCTAATGGTGTGACTTCTCCTAAACACAGATTTGTGCTGTATTATTCATCCAGTGGATTCAGCACATGCATTCTTAACTGTAAAATATGTTACTATTAGGTTAAAAGACATTTTTAATCAAGTCTAACTTGGAAAAATGTTTTTTATTAAACAAATGGAAAAATACATAGCGTTTGTAATTATGCTGTCACCATTCACTCTGTACCTTTTCAAAAATGTACAAACTGGTCATTTCACAGGGAGTAACCTACACAATTGCAGTGTGTTGACAGTACCATGACTCTGGGTATACAACCTTTAGCTGTAGCACAGCTCAGGGATTATCAAAGACTTTGAAGTGCGTGATGCCCTTGGGTAGCTAGAGACAGTGTGGGGTCCTTCATTAGGTGTTCAGTGGGGGATCTAAGGCCATAAGCATTACTGGGACAATGGGGAGACTGGCATATTAGGTCATAGAACTACATCAATACCTGATTTTCCGAATGCGGTGCTCACATTGTTAACTGTGGGAGAATGTCCTTATTCTTAGGAGATTCACGCTGAAATATAGGAGTATGATGTCACAATGTTTGCAACTAATTCTCAAATGATGCAGAGGGGAATATATGTGGAGATACACAATCGCAGCAATTAGTGGATCCAGATGAAGGGTATACGGTTGTGTATCCTACTATTTTGTACCTTTTCTGTAGTCGTGAAATTTTTCGAAATAAGCTTGGAAAGATAACATACAGGCCTGGAGACTTCATTATCTAGAGTTGGGGTTTTCATCTTAGGAGTACCATAACTGGTATGCACCCCAGGAAATGGCAGCTGTCCATCAGCTCCCCTAATCAGTGCCTGCAGTTGCTTGCTTTGTTCCTTGGGCCACCTTGGACGTGTTGCCTCACCCTTCTCCTGACCTGTTGTTTCGCGTGTGTGGATGTCACTGGGAAGGCCACGCAGCGTCTTCCCCCAGGGCCTACACTGAGGGAGCCTCCAGTCACACTCAGGGACACCAGACTGGCCACCGGCCCTAAGTGCCTTCATAGGAGTAAATGAGGTGTCCATTCATTTGTTTGTTTGTTTAATTTCTTAAATACCACAGTGTCTTCCAAAATGCAAAGACCCAAACACACATGGGTCCTTTTATTTTGTGTCTTTATTTCCTCTTGAACCTCTAGAAAAAATCCATTTTAATGGCATTCCTAATTTTATACTTTTTTTGCCTTTTCTAATCCTTGCTTTATGCGTAGGTTTCTCAGAAAAGGTATGTGCTCATCAGGGGTTTCCGAATAAGATTATGTTTCAGCATTCCAAGGAAGCTTACTACCTGAGGAATCCTGTAGAGAACTCTTTCATTAGAAAGGACACCTCCTGTGAATCATTCTTTCATGGATCACTTTCTAAAACTTAGCTACATTTATAGAGTGTTTACCCTATACTATGCCCTGTTCTAAGTGCTTCACTGGTATAAACCCAGATAGTCTTCCGAGTGGCCCTTTGAGGTAGATACTGTTGTTATTCTCATTTTACAGATGAGAAAAGTGAGGCTAAGAGACTCGCCCAGAGTCTCACAGGGGTAAGTGACAGAGCTGGCATTGGGACCCAGATTCCTCACGTTGACCTTATGTGTCAAGTTTTCTGAAAGCCTGCCTTTCTGAACTCAGGCCTTAGAACTGTAATTTAAACACTAAAAATGTTTCATATTTATAAAGCAATTTCTAATCTCTGTTTTTGCCCATTTATTATAAAACATTATGCTGCTGTTCTTTTGAATTTTAAAAAGATATTTAGCCTTTATATTTCTAGCAGTGGTTGTACCATACACTTAATTTCTCAGTCAGAGGGGGAGTCCTTCTGGCTTTAGCTTAACCACTAACCTTTAAAATTTTTATTGTTTTCAGGGATTCTGTCTGTTTTAACATTATTGCTGTTGTATCATCTGATAATACAGCAAACACCCATGTAACTACCACCGGGTTAAAGACATTGCTGAGTCTGGAAGCTCTCTGCGTCCTATCCAATTACACCCCCTCCCTTCTCCCTTGAGGTAGCCACTGACTTGGCTTTTGTGATCATCCGTTTCCCATTTTCTTTATGTTTTCCTAAACAGCATATTGTTTAGTTTTACCTATTTACAGACTTTATTAAAAGTTGACTAGTGCTCATCATATTCTTTGTGACGTGCTTCTTTTCTCCATTGTTTGTGAGATCACCCAAGTCATCGGTAGCTTTCACAGAGATTTCCGTGTGTTCATTCACAGTTATCAGTTGAGTATCCTTCTACTATTAATGGTTTGGGTTGCCCCCGTTGGGGATTTCCTAAGATCCATGCTTCTGACCCACATCGTTCTATGTTTACAGTTGCACCTGTGTGGGGGTTTATTGCGTGTGTACGCTTGGAAGTGACATTGCTGGATCATAGGCTCTGCAGGGGCACGTGCCTTCGTGGCCGTGCGCAAACTGTTTTACACACTTTTTACTCCTACCCACAGTGAGAGAATACCCATTGCCCCAGGATCGTGCTAACACTGGGTCGCTGGGTATTGTCGGGCATTCCTATTTTTGCCTGTCTGGTGAGTATGTAATCGTATTCCGTGGCAGTTGGCACTGGCACTTCCCTGGAGACAGTTGCGATTGAGCACCTTCTTTAATCAACATATTCACCATCTGAGTTTCTTCTCTTTTGAAGCCTCAGTTTAAGTGTGTTGTGTATTTTTCCGTTAGATTTCCCTGACCAAGCTTTTAGCATCCTTCCCGCCACAGGCATGCAGCTCACACATAAGCAACCTTAGCCTGTGTAAAATGAGTCTTCCTAGCATGCTGCGTGGTAGTAGGAAGGCTACACATCTGCCTCACGGCGCCCAGTTTTGCTCACCCACGTAGAAGGCCCTGAGAAAAGCCTTGTGACTCTGAGTTAGGCCGTGTGCCAGCACTGTCGAAATCTGATTGTATTGCAGCTTTTGTCTGTTTTTCTCCTCAGTGGTTCTCACCATTCAGGAAGTCCTTCAGCTCACTGTTCGAAAAATACTGGGTCTCTGGATACATCCAAAGTCTACATTGTGTCTCACAGCAGCGGTCCACAGGTTCCCGGGTCCATGTCCAAGCCCTACCACAGACAAGGGTCAGTGACCAAATATGTCATCGGCTGGAAGAAATCGGAAGGCAGTCCGCCGCCTGAGGAGCCCGAAGTGACCGAGTGCCCCGGGTACGGTGGCTGACTAGTTCTTCTCCGAGAAATGTCTCTTCCCCCGAGGGAAATACATTTGCTCAAAACGAATAATCTCGAGAGGCCTTTTTAAACTCTTTTGATGTCCGTGTGTGTATTTCCCTATAAAATGATTCTCTTCCCTTGATTTTTATATAAAAAAAGAAAAAAATCTGTGTTCTTTATTTTTATATTCAAAAATCTGCCAGCGGTAGAAAAGTCATGGTGATGTGCTACCGATGGTGTGAGTATAGAGTCTCTGTAGATATACAAAGTCAAAGGCAGTTTGAATTCCTGCGGAATTTGTTTCTTAGAGTTGCTGTGTAAATGACATCCTAAAAGAAAAGCCGGAACTACAGGTGCACGCTACTATGCCCGGCTGATTTTTTGATTTATGGTAGAAATGAGGTCTCGCTGCCCAGGCGGGTCTCGAACCCATGGACTCAGGCAATCCACTCACCTCAGCCTCCCAAAGGCACGGGATTACAGGCTGAGCCACCAAGCCCGGCATTTTTTTCTCTTAAAAAAATGATCCCATATTTTTAAATACAGCTTATACGATACTTCCTTCTAAATTAAAAAGTATTTCAGGCTACTGATGGTGTGAGTATAGAGTCTCTGTAGATATACAAAGTCAAAGGCAGTTTGAATTCCCACAGAATTTGTTTCTTAGAGTTGCTGTGTAAATGACATCCTAAAAGAAAAGGTATTTTACCTAATTTTAGCATGACTTCTGATTTCTCTTTCAATTGTTAGGTTTTGTAGGGGCATATGAAGAGGGATGCTTTGTATCTGCTTGAAAAAAGAAAAGAGAAAAAAATACGTACCGATAACCCATTTTATAATACTCATGAAAATTATGCCAATGCCTCTGTGAAGAGACAAGTAAAGAAATTGCATTTCAAGATGCAGAGCAGGACTGGTCAGGGCTATCTAGCTATTGGTTTGCTTACTTCTTTAAGAAGTTTCACAGACGACGTGTGCTAAATCACCAGCTTACTCTTGCTGCATCTGCACACGATAGTATCATGAGATGTGTAGCGGGTACACACCGAGGACACCAGGGCTTTGACAATTCTTCCGAGAGATCCTCTAGATTTCAACCTTGGTGACTGAACAGGAATCATTTTTTTCTCTTTTTTTTTTTTTTTTTTTTTTTTTTTTGAGTTGGAGTCTCACTCTGTCGCCCAGACTGGAGTGCAGGGGCCGCCCCCGGCCACCGCAGCCTCGACCCGCTGGGCTCTGGCGATCCTTCTGCCGCAGCCTTCCAAGTAGCCGGAACTACAGGTGCACGCTACCACGCCCGGCTGATTTTTTGATTTATGGTAGAGATGAGATCTCGCCGCCCAGGCGGGTCTCGAACCCATGGACTCAGGCAATCCCAAAGGCACTCACCTCAGACTCCCAAAGGCACGGGATTACAGGCTGAGCCACCGAGCCCGGCCATTTTTTTCTCTTAAAAAATAATCCCAGCCGGGCTCGGTGGCTCAGCCTGTAATCCCACGCCTTTGGGAGGCTGAGGTG